GATTTATTTCCATCTAAACATGTTTTAAGTATATAAAGTCATGTATAGGATTTTTTGATTCAGTAGGAAATCATTAGCCTATTTTAGAGTCTAAATCAGTTTTTAGAACTAAAATTCAAGTGTTCTCATCTTCTGGACTTAACTTTCAATTTATTTTTGATTGATTTTCTTATTGTAAAGAGTTCTATTTATTTTATTTTTAAAATTTATATTTCTTTTAAAAGTCGTATTTAATATTAAATTCTTTAACATAAGAACATCAGCTTAGTCCCTCTAAGGTTAGTAAAATCATTATATAGAGAACAATTGGCTGCTTAATTCTCAATGATGGGCCTAATGGGAAATTATATAAAGGTAGATAGGCTGAAATTTGCATGAGCTAAAAGAGAAAGAATAAGAGTTTGATTATAATACATTGAATTATTTAATCTGAAATAAATATATTATCAATCAGAATGTATTGGTATCAAAACATAGAACTTTTAATTTAATTCTTTTAATTTTTTATGATTTCGAATTAACATTAAAATAATTATTCATCTTATTATCTTAAACTATTATGATTATGGATAAAAAAGAATAAAAAGGGGTATCAATAAAATATCGATTAAAAAATAATTCAAGCATATCATCACAAAACTTAAATACCATATTTTTAAACTTATTGATTGATAGAATAATGCTAATATTCTTCGTTTCAATTAAATTCAACAATTTCGAGGCATTTAGTTTTCTTTTTTTTATTCAAACATAATTATAAGTAGAACAATAGAGAAATGATTGAATTATTTTTATTATTATTAGGTAAAAAACATGTGAAATTTAGATGTAGAATTAAAATAAATTGAAAAATACTTTAAGAAATCCAAAAATTATGATTCTTAAACGATTTGTAAATCTTAATAAATTTACTAAAGCATCATTGATATTGAATAATATTTCTCAACCAATCGAAGAAACATGTATGCTTATTAATTGTTTAATGTAAGCCTATTTCAATCAATATTTCATTATAATCGATTAGGTCATTGATTTTGGAATCAATGTAATTTTAAAATTAATAAATATACAA